GATGTGGGTTTTGTGTGTTTTAAAGGTACTTTTTGGGGTTTCATTAAATTGTATGTTTTTTCTGTGCTTGGAGATAATTGGTTTTAGTACAGTTCCTGGTTCAATTATCTCTCAAGCACAGAGGAGGGTGTTGCCCTTGTTGGGAAACTTGCATAAAAGGCCAGTGTGCCTCCATTAAAATGGTATTCCAGCTTACACTCCAAAACTGTGTGTCGTCCTATTATTGGAGGGAAAGAAGATTTACTCCTGTGTCTGCTGTTCCAGCTTGCAGGGGATTCAACGGGTTAAGTCCTTGTAAGAACTAGACTTAATTCCCCATTCAGCTCCAGGGCCCCAGTCGAGCCACGGCAACTGTGGGCAGAAGTGCTGCTGTTTGTCACCTGTTCCAACTAGGAAGCGGTCCTTGGCGGAGGTACCCAGCCGGGGTACAGGGAGCTCCGTTACAGTGTGCTCAGGCAATTATCTCTCAGGCACACGGGAGGAGTATGTTAGATGTTTACCTGTAACTAATCTCCTCTCAGGTCCAGGGGAGGGATTATCCTGGCATGTGTGGGAGTGTTATGGGTGTGTTTGACTGTGTCTAAACTGTATAAAAGTAGGCCATCTAGCCAGATAAACGCATTCCTGCTTGTACTCCCAGAACTTTGTGTCATCTGGTTACTGGTAGGGGAAAGGGCTAATCTCTAATCACTGTTTCAGTGTGGAGGATTCTTGTAAGAACTAGAGCTCCCATGACTGAGTGTCGTCGAGTACATTGGGAGTTCCCCATTCGACTTCAGGACAGAGTTTTTCCAGGACTCCAGTCAAGTCACGGTGACTGGGGGCGGGAGGGCTGAGGTTTGTCCCTTGTTCCAGCTAGGAAACGGTCCTTGGCGGAGGTACCCAGCTGGGGTACCGGGAGCTCCGTTACATAGACATCCCCCGAAAATAAGCCCTAGTGCGTTTTTCGGAGGAAAAAATTAATATAAGACTGTGACGAAGTGCCCTTCGCCACTTGTGCCTGGAGGGGACTACTGGCTAGCCTCCTGCCTTCCGATTATGGCTCATGTGCTGATAGCGGTATTTTCCCCTGCAGAAAGGTTTATTTGTGTATTTCTGCTGGGGTGTTCTGGACTGTCAGTATGGTAGTAGTGCTATCCCAGAAAGTTATGCCATGGAGTCTATTTGTGTAACAAAAGACTATGGAAAAGACTTCGGCTCCATGGCGATTGAATTGTATGTATGTGATCTGAGCGCCATTCAATAATAATGTGCACTCAGATCTAAGCTATCAGGAGATATGTTGCATGTATATGTTTTATATAGTAATTGTAACATTGTGTAATTTTATGTCTTTTTGTAACTATGTGGTTAATGGAGTCTTGATTACTTCCCAATTATCTCCAGGATAGAGAGGAGGGATTGTGATGGCACTGTGGGAGTGTTTTGTTTGTATTGTCTGTGATTGGTTATACTGGGTCCCACCCTGTGGGATGTCCCCTTGCATGGGGACTTGCATAAAAGCCAGTGTGTGGTCATTGTGTGTACCTTTCTTGAAGCCTTGGCTCATGTTTGGGGGAAGGGATACGTACACTCTGGGGATTGCTATAATCACCTACTCCCCAGAGTAAGCTCTTGCAATAGCTTGATTTGTCCCTGCTACGCTCTCTGGATTTAGGAGAGGTTCACCCACTGGGAGCTGGATCCTGGTCATGGATCCAGGGTGGGTGGAGACGGCGAGACCCCGGCGCAGCTGCATCGCTGGAAGTGAGGTCTGCAGTGCTGATGGTGTCGGTTAGAGTGCTTGAAGTCCTCGGCAAGCGTTGGGAGCATTGATTGGCGGAGGTACTCAGTCAGAGTGCCAGCTTTCCGTCACAAAGACCCAGTCTTATTTTCAGGGAAAGACAGTATTTCCTTGCATATCGCTGCAACCTTCGTAGTTGGGAGTCTTTGTGTACAAGACAGTGAGTCGATGTCGAAACCTACGAAATGTACACATAGAGTAGGAGGCAGCACTGACTTTGTTTAATGACAAGGAAGCCTAGGGATTCTGACAAGTCCACTATGTAAACTGTATTCGATACTTGTTGGTTTCGGATCTGATCGAAGAGTAGAATGTTGTCCTGGTAAAGTAAGCTGCGTATGTCTTGTCCCTGCAGGTACGCCATCACCAGTTTGATAACTTTCGTAAAGCACCATGGTGCTGAACTTAGCCCGAAGGGTAGGCAAGTGAATTGCCACAGTGTCCCGTTCCAGAGGAACCGTAAGAAGGGGCAACTGTTGTCGTGCACCGGTACGGACAGATGTAACGGCACCCCCAGGCGTAAAAGGGGTTAACAGACGTTTAAGAGTGTGACGGAACGCTGGCACTCCGACTGAGTACCTCCGCCAATCGATGCGTTCCGTCACAAGGAGATATTCCCTTCCAGATATACAGGCAGCTACTGTAGACACCAATCCACCGAACCGGAGAAGCATACGGATGCTCTCAAACATACGAATGCTTTAAACAGCCAAATAGGAAAAACCATACGAAAGGTTTACACTCCTAGCAGTCGAACTGGAACAGCATATAATAAATCCCCCCCCCCCCAAGAACGAGACAAAGCTCCGTGTTGAGGGTCAAGCAGGGACAGACAGAGCTGTGGGTTTATTGTTCTTATATACACATACTTAAACATTAGTACCACCCACAGGGTTTTGTAAAACAACCAAGAAACATGTAATACACAGTAAAACACCCCCATTCATTCCAGCAGAGTCCTCCCCTCTGCCTGTGATATAATTACTGAACACAATGGGCTAACATAATTATCAAAGGCAGGAAAATACACAGTTTTACACAATATTCATAACTTTAAAAGTATACATCACATTCACATAAGACTTAAATTTTCAGAATCAGCATACTCCAAATGCAAACATATGTCAAAATCATACAAATTGGTCCAGTGGGTCAAAAGTTAGTTGGAAGACCCTTTGTGACCGCCTGCAAGCATATCTTGGGTGTGGTAAGCCAATTATCTCCAGCATACAGAAAATAGCTCTATTCACAACAACAGTAAAAATACACAAAAATACATAATTCCCATTACACTGAACAGAACCCCCACATTCAACCTATCCCCAGATAGCTTGCATATGAGCGCTCAATAAATCGGAACAGCGCTCAGATCCCACAAACAGAACAAAATTGCCAGGGGGTTAAGTCTAGCATGGGCTGATGAGAGGGGCCATAGTCATGAGGCAGGAGGCTGGTAACCAGGCTTCTCCATAACCCAGTGACGAGGTTAGTTTCACCACAACAGAGCAAGCATCTTTTAGATCCAGGTAGGTAAACCAGTCTTCCTCTTGAATGAGATCACTCAAGAGATGGATACCTTCCATTTTGAAATGATGGTAAGAGGTCATGTAGGTTTAACACCAGGCAGAACTTGCCTGTCTTTTTTTCCTTATGAGGAAAATATTGCAGAAAAATCCTGCTGCAGTCATCGTGGGTTGGATGGCCCCTTTTGTCCATAAGTCTTGTAGTTTCTGATCCACAAGTCATGCATCTGAGGCCGTGAAGTACAGCATGCGCGGAGGAGTGGTCTGGAATTCTATATGATAACCGCAAGCGGTTTACAATACCCAGGAATCTGAAGATAGTTCTACCCAGTTCAGGAAAAAATGTGAAAGGCGACCCGCAGTATGTAAATATGCAACTATACGATGAATAAACACCAATAAATGGTTGAGTATCCTTCTAGAGTAAGATCTCGAGATTGGATGTGACAACCATAACCACTGTATCACTTGTAAAAGATAACCACCACCAGGAAATATAAAAAGTGTTGAATGCTTATTGAAATAAAACAATAATAGAGGACTCAGTGGAAATGGAAATACAAATTGCAGATTAATAAATAAATAAAAACATACTTAATTCCTCTTTAAATGTGGATGTATCAGCTAGTCAGATCATAACCTCCTATAGTATAAGATAGGTAGAATCCAAAGGCTGCTGAAGCGTTAATCTAGTATCGGTTCTGTAACAAATGAAGTACAGAACTGTAACGGCACCCTGGGCATAAAAGGGTTAAACTGCCGTTTAGAAGATCTTCCCCTTTCAGAGACACAGACACAGCTACTGCAGAACACCAAACTCCCGAACTGGATACAAGGGAATGCTCCAAACTCCCGAACTGCATCCAATATAGCACTCCAAACTCCCGAACTGGAACCTCACTAATAGCTGCTAGCAGACAAACAGGAAAAGCACCCAAGCGGCTTACACTCCTGGCAATCAGTCTCTAACAGCATGCAGTAAATCCCCCCAAAAACGAGACAGAGCTCTGTGTTGAGAGTCAAGCAGTGGTCTGATTTATTCAGGGCTACCTGCCCAGTATTTATGCAGGTCTCTCACCTGGTGGACACCCCCCTAGGGGACCAGATCGGAGACTGTAACACAGACAGACATGTATCACATTTAGACACACAGAAGTAAAACATCCCCACAATGCATCCTAATTTCCCTCCCTCTGTCCTGGAGATAATTGGGAAGATAATTGGGAAGTAATCCAAGGACAGAGGCAAATCGCCATTATACACGTGGGGACACAAAGACAGTAAAATACTTTAAAATATACAAAGTTACATTTAGTACATAAAATACAGACATGTCACATATCCCCAGATAGCTGGGATCTGAGCGCACATAACTACCGAATCGCGCTCAGATCCTATACACACAGTTCAATTGCCATGGAGCCAAAGTCTTTAATTACACGAATAGGCTCCATGGCATAGCTATCTGGGTTAACATATTCACATAGAAAAAGTCCCGATCAATCCAGCGTTCGTCTAAACAGCCACGAATAGAAGCAGGGAAGGCTGGAGGCTCAGCGGTGCCTGCACGTAAAAGTGTCCGCTTTTAGTGCACTGATTCCGGGCTGAGCACCGCTGGCCGTCCGGGGAGCTCCATAACACCACCACCTAGCGGCCGCTAAGTGTAAGCGGCCACCCAGTAATAGTCAATTAAGCTGCAGTTAACCGCAGTCACTGGGTGGTCAATTGACTGCACACGCCAGCTTCAGGGAGGTGAATTGAAGGCACACGCTAGCTTCCCGGTGGTCGCGCCTTCTGTATTTTGTTCGGTAGATAAAATCTACCGAATGCCCTGTCAGAAAGGCATGAATAAGCCTTTCTGCAGGGAAAATAAAGTATGTTAAAAGTCCAGTCCATAGTCTAAAGGGAGCAGGCGGGCAACCAGGCTCCTCCAATGCAATGTGGCGAGATTGCTCTCGTCACAAGAACCAATATCCAATTGGTTGTTAAAATGAAATTCCTTGAATCCAACAAGGGGTTGTTAAACTATTTTGGAAAATGTATTAGTACATGTAACGGATCGCCTGGCACCCCGTCTGGGTACCTCCGTTAAAGGATGCTCCTAGCACTTCCTGAGGACTCCAAGCACTGCAGCCGACACCACAATCACCGAACCAGAGAAGCGTATACCTTCTCTCAAGCATATGAATGCTGTAGACAGTTGAATAGGAACCATACGAATAGGTTTACTCTCCTAGCAGTCAAACTGGAACAGCATACAATAAATCCTTCCCCCAATAATGAGACGACACTTCACTTTGAGGGTTAAAACAGGAACTCCCTGTACTGTCACATACAGTCTCTTTTATTCCCAATCCACAAACATAGTACAGCCCACAGGGCGTTACAAAACAACCAATCACATCACAGTTACATCCTACATATTCCCTCCCCTTATCCTGAGAGGAAACTCAATTATATATACAGTTAAAACATACTTTCTACCCAACTTTCATAACTCCAAAACCATACATCACATTCACATAAAATTACATATTCACAATCAATCCATTCAGGGGAACAACATATTCAAAATGGCACAAATCAGACAAGGGGTTCAAAAGTTAGTAAAAAGTCCTTTGTGACTAAATGAAGCATGGCTTTCTGGCCCAAACCAGTTTCAGAGTCTTCTATCCTGGAGATAAGTAATTCAATTATCTCCCAGGACAGACACAGACTCCATTAAGCACATGGTTGCAAAAAGACACAAAACACTTTAAAATACATGAAGTCACCTTTACACATAACACACAGACATTTCACATATCCCCAGATAGCTGGGATCTGAGTGCACATTATTAGATGAATGGCACTCAGATCACACAAATAAGCCTTTCTGCAGGGGAAATAAACGGTTTAACCTGCAGGGCCATAGTCCAAAGGGAGCAGGCGAGCAACCAGGCTTCTCCAGTTCACAGTGGCGAGGTTGGTTTCGCCACACTTCTCCCCTTTACCAACTAGACTAACAGGGTATCTGACCTCCTGCCGGTCAGTGCCCTGGTTAGTCCAGCAACCCACCCACAAAACAGAAACAGCAGTACAGCCCACCCACAATAACTGGTTACTACACCTGGGTAGAGGAGAACTTTGTCCATGTCCTGGTGCCTCACCACGACTGTGTGGGCAACTGTTAGGCTGCCTTGGTGGGTTGCTGAGTGGGCAGAGACCAGCGGTACTCTGCCCTGATGCCAGTGCTACCACGGAAGTAGCCTGGTGGGAGCCTGGTTGTGGGAGGGAGAGAGAGACTGTCTCCCCTCTGGATACACCGCTCTGTGGCTGGGCAACAGGACAACTGTCCCTACCCCTTGTGCTGTAAGTGCAGAGACTACAGTCCCATTTGCACTGTTGGGGGGTGTAACATCTCCCCTTGCTGGGTTAGGCTGCCGCTGGAGAGAGGGTGTAACAAGCTCCTCTCTCTGAACTGTAAACTGCCGCTGGGGAGAAGGGGTATCAGGCTCCTCTCCCTGACACTCTCTCTGCTGGTGGAGAGGGGGACCAGCTGTCTCCATTTTCATTATTTTGTCCTGTGGTTGGGGTGCGAGACTGACGGTCTCTGCTCCCTGCAGGACACTCTGCCGCTGGGGAGGAAGGACGGCACCTTCAGCTCCCTGGGGTACACACTGCCGCTGGGGAGGAAGGACTGCACCTTCAGCTCCCTGGGGTACACACTGCCGCTGGGGAGGAAGGACTGCACCTTCAGCTCCCTGGGATACACACTGCCGCTGGGGAGGAAGGACGGCACCTTCTGCTCCCTGGGGTACACCTATGAGTCCCCGTAACGCACTCTGCCTCCGGATAGGGCGGCTGATACCTTTGGTTGGATCTGCCATGAACTCCAGGTACTCGTCTACCTGGCTCCTTACGAACTGCACGTATTTCTCCGGGGGGTTGGGTCCAAAGAAAGCCAGCCGCATGGTAAACTCTCTGTCATACTGCTCCTGAGTGTAGCTGGGTGCCATGCTTGCGCTGCTGAAGTTAGTTCTTTTGTAGATAGGGTCGCTGTACGGGTACTGGCGTTGCCCTCACTTTGTAAATCCACGAACTGTGTCTCCGAGCTGCTTTACCTCGCACTAGGACGCCATCCCACCGCTTGCCACCAATGTAACGGATCGCCTGGCACCCCGACTGGGTACCTCCGTTAAAGGATGCTCCTAGCGCTTCCTGAGGACTCCAAGCACTGCAGCCGACACCACAATCACCGAACCAGAGAAGCGTATACCTTCTCTCAAGCATATGAATGCTGTAGACAGTTGAATAGGAACCATACGAATAGGTTTACTCTCCTAGCAGTGAAACTGGAACAGCATACAATAAATCCTTCCCCCAATAATGAGACGACACTTCACTTTGAGGGTTAAAACAGGAACTCCCTGTACTGTCACATACAGTCTCTTTTATTCCCAATCCACAAACATAGTACAGCCCACAGGGCGTTACAAAACAACCAATCACATCACAGTTACATCCCACATATTCCCTCCCCTTATCCTGAGAGGAAACTCAATTATATATACAGTTAAAACATACTTTCTACCCAACTTTCATAACTCCAAAACCATACATCACATTCACATAAAATTACATATTCACAATCAATCCATTCAGGGGAACAACATATTCAAAAATGGCACAAATCAGACAAGGGGTTCAAAAGTTAGTAAAAAGTCCTTTGTGACTAAATGAAGCATGGCTTTCTGGCCCAAACCAGTTTCAGAGTCTTCTATCCTGGAGATAAGTAATTCAATTATCTCCCAGGACAGACACAGACTCCATTAAGCACATGGTTGCAAAAAGACACAAAACACTTTAAAATACATAAAGTCACCTTTACACATAACACACAGACATTTCACATATCCCCAGATAGCTGGGATCTGAGTGCACATTATTAGATGAATGGCACTCAGATCACACAAATAAGCCTTTCTGCAGGGGAAATAAACGGTTTAACCTGCAGGGCCATAGTCCAAAGGGAGCAGGCGAGCAACCAGGCTTCTCCAGTTCACAGTGGCGAGGTTGGTTTCGCCACACTTCTCCCCTTTACCAACTAGACTAACAGGGTATCTGACCTCCTGCCGGTCAGTGCCCTGGTTAGTCCAGCAACCCACCCACAAAACAGAAACAGCAGTACAGCCCACCCACAATAACTGGTTACTACACCTGGGTAGAGGAGAACTTTGTCCATGTCCAGGTGCCTCACCACGACTGTGTGGGCAACTGTTAGGCTGCCTTGGTGGGTTGCTGAGTGGGCAGTGCTACCACGGAAGTAGCCTGGTGGGAGCCTGGTTGTGGGAGGGAGAGACCGACTGTCTCCCCTCTGGATACACCGCTCTGTGGCTGGGGAACAGGACCGACTGTCCCTACCCCTTGTGCTGTAAGTGCAGAGACTACGGTCCCATTTGCACTGTTGGGGGGTGTAACATCTCCCCTTGCTGGGTTAGGCTGCCGCTGGAGAGAGGGTGTAACAAGCTCCTCTCTCTGAACTGTAAACTGCCGCTGGGGAGAAGGGGTATCAGGCTCCTCTCCCTGACACTCTCTCTGCTGGTGGAGAGGGGGACCAGCTGTCTCCATTTTCATTATTTTGTCCTGTGGTTGGGGTGCGAGACTGACGGTCTCTGCTCCCTGCAGGACACTCTGCCGCTGGGGAGGAAGGACGGCACCTTCAGCTCCCTGGGGTACACACTGCCGTTGGGGAGGAAGGACTGCACCTTCAGCTCCCTGGGGTACACACTGCCGCTGGGGAGGAAGGACTGCACCTTCAGCTCCCTGGGATACACACTGCCGCTGGGGAGGAAGGACTGCACCTTCTGCTCCCTGGGACACACACTGCCGCTGGGGAGGATGGACGGCTGATACCTTTGGCTGGATCAGCCATGAACTCCAGGTACTCGTCTACCTGGCTCCTTACGAACTGCACGTATTTCTCCGGGGGGTTGGGTCCAAAGAAAGCCAGCCGCATGGTAAACTCCCTGTCATACTGCTCCTGAGTGTAGCTGGGTGCCATGCTTGCGCTGCTGAAGTTGGTTCTTTTGTAGATAGGGTCGCTGTACGGGTACTGGCGTTGCCCTCAATTTGTAAATCCACGAACTGTGTCTCCGAGCTGCTTTACCTCGCACTAGGACGCCATCCCACCGCTTGCCACCAATGTAACGGATCGCCTGGCACCCCGTCTGGGTACCTCCGTTAAAGGATGCTCCTAGCGCTTCCTGAGGACTCCAAGCACTGCAGCCGACACCACAATCACCGAACCAGAGAAGCGTATACCTTCTCTCAAGCATATGAATGCTGTAGACAGTTGAATAGGAACCATATGAATAGGTTTACTCTCCTAGCAGTCAAACTGGAACAGCATACAATAAATCCTTCCCCCAATAATGAGGCGACACTTCACTTTGAGGGTTAAAACAGGAACTCCCTGTACTGTCACATACAGTCTCTTTTATTCCCAATCCACAAACATAGTACAGCCCACAGGGTGTTACAAAACAACCAATCACATCACAGTTACATCCCACATATTCCCTCCCCTTATCCTGAGAGGAAACTCAATTATATATACAGTTAAAACATACTTTCTACCCAACTTTCATAACTCCAAAACCATACATCACATTCACATAAAATTACATATTCACAATCAATCCATTCAAGGGAACAACATATTCAAAAATGGCACAAATCAGACAAGGGGTTCAAAAGTTAGTAAAAAGTCCTTTGTGACTAAATGAAGCATGGCTTTCTGGCCCAAACCAGTTTCAGAGCCTTCTATCCTGGAGATAAGTAATTAAATTATCACCCAGGACAGACACAGACTCCATTAAGCACATGGTTGCAAAAAGACACAAAACACTTTAAAATACATAAAGTCACCTTTA